AGCTGAAACTGGGTCAACATTTGCTAGCCAATCTGAGAAAAGAACGAAATACGTCCGCAAGAACAGACCGCCTCTGCGATGTCGAACGAGATCCGACCAGGTGCTCTTTCACTGTCGATCCGAAACTTCGATATTTTTGATCCGTTTCAGAAATCTTCAGTCCGAAACGTTCGTTCGTTGCCACACTGACTACTTTATCATCGAACCTCTTTCAAATTTTTCCGAAATTCCTAACCTTAAAATCTGTCATCTTCTTTGATTGAAAAATAGTGGTACGCTCCTCTTTATAGTGCTGCGTTCATTTATGGCGGTTGTGAAGTCTCTTGCATGCGTGAACACAGCTGATATTTTTCATATATTTCGCAGCTGACAGCAGTACACATTTTTGATATTTAAAATTAATTTCTTCCGAAAGAAATCTTCGGATAAAAAAAATTCTATATTCGTGCTAGTGGAAAAGGTTCGGATTGAAATAAAGTCGCTGTGCACGAGAAAATATTACGTATACGTAGGAATATTCTGTTAGGACTACACTCGTGTCCGCGTGGAATGAAATCAGAGAATTTGTCTTCGCTCTGTTTGCGGGAAATTGCATTTAACGTGGTATTCGGCGTCGAAAAGCGCGGGGATGCACCACGTTCTCTGTACAACCACGAACGCCTGGATTGATTTATCACGCGCGCCCGAACCTTTCTTCGCTGACAACTCCAAAATGGCCGGTGTCAACCGTTTCTGAAAAACAATCTAGTTTTCTGACCGCGCGCGCAAGTACGAAAATTAAGACAAACCCCCGGAAAAACCGGGAGCAGATATCAATTTAACGCACTGCGGAAAAATAAGAATTATTATTGAAACGTGAAAGTTTCGCAAATTTTAATTCATACAAATTGAATCTGAATTACGATTCAGTTTTTCTTCCATTGCAATTTCCATTTTAAGTGGGTATAGAAGTCCGATCGGCTCCGCTCGATGTTACATTATATTCGCGAGTATTCCTGCGATCTAAACATACTCGCGTTTGAAAGTAGTGCCAACGTAATGGTATCTAAATTACCACGATATTTTTAATTATACTTTTTAAATAGATTCATCTTCGTTATTTAGGAGAAATATTAAAATTAATTCGTTTTTAGTTCGCTGTAGGATAATAATAAGATGCATTTTAATTTTAGCGTCTAAATTACGAACATATTGGCAGACGTAGATTGGCAACATTGTTACTGTAATGTACATATATATATTCATGAGACTGTAACTAGAATAGAACGTGCGATGTTATTGAATCGTGAAATCGTGTTACTATTCATTTTTCATCGAGGTAATGGCAGCTCAAATAACGAGATTCAGATTTCCCTGCCAATATTGTGTTACATCGTAAAAAAGTATTCATAATTACGCTGTGTTATATAAAACATAAAGTCGTATAAACACAAAAGAGCAAATATTCGCGTTTGAAATTGAGGTTATTTTAAAAGAACAACGTAGAATCGTGGGAAAATATGGAGAAAACGCATAATGAAAATAATATTGTACGCGTTTTTATACCTGCACGTCTTCCGTGTATCTTATTTGACGGAGCATATGACATTACCAATTACAATATGGACGGCGGAGACCCGTGAAGGAGAAACAGAAAGAAACGAGGAGCAAGAAAAGCAGAAGAAAAAGGAAGGGGAGGAGGAGGAAATTGAGGCCGTGCCGATGACGGAACAGGTTATGGATCCTAACATAAAAATAACCGACGTACCGGACGTGGAGGAAGCCACGGAGGACTGGGACGCAAACTGGGACAAGAACAAGGTCATACGAGATGTCGCCTATTATATTCGGGCACACAAATTCCAGGACTACGATCGACGTTATTACAGGAAGCTGGAAGACGCGACGAGCAGACTTTACGAGGAATTTCCGAAACCTCCTTTGAGGTCTTTGCATTGGGAAGTGCGTAGGTATTGTAAACCATTGGCTCGATCGATAACTCAGGTTTGATCATTCCAAATCGGTATTTTATAATGCACGAAAACGTTGGTTAATTTATCGTCAGAAATCCGAAGCGTAGGATTTAACAGTTTACGGTTTAACGTAACCTCACTTTTATCCACGTCTCGCTAGAAAGTGACATCTTATTTATGCGACAGTAAGATATTTATTTCTGGAATAAAATCTCTGTTTTATGCTTTCCTGAAGGATTAAATCCTCGTTGTATGAAATTATACGCATAGTTTTATCGAGAAATGTAATTTTTTTTTTTTTTTGGACGATGTTAATTATTTACCTATATGTATTTTGTACGCCAAAGTACCATCGGTTTATTTAGTCGAAAGAATGCGCAATTGAAAAATTAATTGGTAGCAAATGGAGTGTATTTTTGTTTAATTCAACTCGGTTTGAGCTGGACGCGTGAAGCAATTAAACGGTCTGAAGCTGCTCGTAACGAACGTCAAAAGCCGCGCTCGCTGTACGACGGACGAAAAAAGAAACTGCGAACGTGTCGGTATCGGTGACATGGCGTATTATTGTGCGCAGGCACTGCGATGCAAGCTTCGTCGAGTGTCTGAAATATCTGGAAAGGATCATTACGCTCACTGGCCTGAAGCGGGAAGACGACACTGTCACGATCGTGAAAGAACAGGAATGGAATTTAGCGAACAATGCCAAGCAGATTCAGGCTGCTCGAAAGGACTGTCAGGCGAGTCAGAAGCGTGACGATCTAACCGCGCTTCCCTTTCAAGGTCCAATAGGCAAGTACTCTCGAGAGAGAGACCCCGCTAATCAAAAAAGGAAGGTTAACGATCGATAGCCCGAAGAAAAATACCTCTTACAAACAATTTTTCGTTTCCTTTCCAATTCCTACACGTTCGAAGCGCTCCACTTTTCTCCTTCGTGAAAGGTCAATTTTTGCGTAAAAAAATAATCACCCGTTATAGTGTGTTTTGTTGTGAACGAAACATTATTTACTTGTGTCCTTGCATCTCGGCTCGTGTGTTTACACGCCGATAATCTTAACCTAAAATGTTAACCTTTTAATGTCGGCCAGTGTTTTGTTTCGTTTCTTTTTCACACTTGAGTTTCTTCCACTACCGTTCAAAGTCCTATTTATCTGGCTATAAGCTACACGATTAAACAGAGCTGTATAGATTGGATGAAATTTGCACGTAAAATTGTTGTGACAAACTAGGCGACTACCTTGTTACCTTTGCTCTATTAAATTTTTCAATTGAATTCTCTTTTCACGAATTTCGTTTCTAAAATTCGCGCGCGCCACTTTTCACGTCAAATTTCAACTGCCAGAAGTTACGAACACGCCGAGCAATTCGATTATCTAGAATTGGAACGGTCAAACGAAAAATTATTTACCCTGTACGTTATTCTTGTGGACGTGCCGGTTAAATAAAGAGGGGAATATTCTAACTTAGAACGGTTCCAATGGCGTACCACGGTGAGTTACTATATGTGCTGGTACACGATGCTCGGTGTGCCGGAACTGAGCATTTTCGGGGAGACCTGCGACAACCACGCCAACTGCCAAGTCGAATTTGGAACGGGGAATCAGGATCCGAGAGCCGATGACACGAAACCGTATGCCTGCGCCATTTATAGTTTCTGTCCGGATCATTGTTGTCCCATGAAGCATATACGGGATATGACGGACTGCTATCAGTCGCCACACAATCCCTGTTACGCTGGGAATGCACCGGGTGCGTAGAAATCACCTTACACCCTTGACGTAAGAGGATTGCCGCCGCGCCGTTTCACAGAACTCCACGCCCGGGCTAATTTCATGCGAGAGATCGCATTATTCCGCCTATCAAAGACCACGTCGTCGTGTGTTCGCCGCGAAATGTTTATTAATTAACCGCATCCGTTGGCATTACATTGCTTAATTCTAGCTTCTTAAGGATGTATTAAGCTTTCTTGCCATATCTTTATTGTCTGCTTTTTAAAGTGAATTAGTAGATGGTGAAACGAAGTTTTTCGAATTATTTATTCACTGTTGAATATATATATTTGTATTGAAAAGACAGTTACAGTTACGTCAGTAAAAACGTAGAGATATGACTAGCAACGAATTCTAACCTCGCTGCATTGTAACGGAACTGACACTGAAAAACAAAGTACGGCACTGGGCCTGGCATGTCTAAACGCGCGCATCTGGAAATAAAGTAACGATATTTTTCACCGCTGACACTGACGAAAATTCACAGAACCGAGTGGACACGTCACTGACACGAGTAAATCTTTATCACTGATCGATGCAACGTAAAGAAAGAAGCGCAAGAAAATTGTTTTTGCATAACAATGACCGTACAAGTATTTAAGTGTTATCTTGCAAAAAAGATAGACAGAGTAATCGTCTGTTCGATGAAATCATTGCGAATAGATCAAAGTTTCGTTAATTAACAATCGATTAGTTTTATCTTTCATACTTTTTGCAGAGAACAGAGAATGCACTTTGAATCGAGGTAACAATACTGATTTTCCCAGTTTGCTATCGAACCAGATCAACATTACCTGCGAATGCCATGAAGCTGGCTACGAGTGGTCGGCTAGATTTGGTCTCTGTATCGACGTGAACGAGTGCACACGTGGTGAGCACGGTTGTTCGATAGAAGACGGAGAAACGTGCATGAATTTGCCCGGTGGTTACGAGTGCGTTTGCAAGTTTGGTTACGTTTACGACACAGAACGGAGAGTATGTACTTTCAACTCTGAGATCGAGGAATTATTGGCTGAGAAGAAGGAATCGAACGAAACGGACACGAAGAGCATCATTGAGAAGATCGTTAAAGCGATTACGAAATCATCTTGTAACTGCGTCGTGAGCGATGTCGCAGTTCTGTTTACCGCGCTTCTCTCGTGTTTTTTCCTATTAGAGGAAATTGTATGATCTACTTGTGTAATCGTGAAATATGTTTTATTGCTGCAAGTAGCGTGTATAAGTGATGATTTGCAACTGTTTGTTTTTAAGTGAACTTTTTGTCATTCAGTATTATCGTACCGGTGTTATTAAAATAAGTAGAATGTAACCTAACCTATATCAGAAGTTCAACTGTGAAAGGTATAAATAACATATCAAATACTGTTGTTTAATTAAAGTGATGAAACTACTAATTATCAACTGAAGTAACATTCGTTGCGTTAATGTGACATTTGGCAAAAAACTTGTTTACAATCTTTGCAGCAGTGAGAAACGAAAAGATAATATTTGCACAAAAAAGAAAACCGCTTGTTAGAATAATTTATATGATTTGATGAAAACTGTTTCCTTTACTTTTTATCTACGTGTAATGGTAACAGTACAAAGGAACAGTTAATAATTCTTGACGTTTGCCGAGTTAATTAAATTAATATCGACGAGTAAACCGTTCCAGCTTGTAAAATTGTGTCCGTAACAATTCAAATTTTAATCTTGCCGTGTAATAACGCGATTCCATGTGTTCCCAACGCTATCGCGACGGGTTCCTCTAGACGGTTATTTGCTCTGCCAGAGGAAAAACGATGTTTTCCCGTGGTTCACGGTATTTAGCATAATAAGCGCGGATAGCAATGCTAAATGGTAAATAGAAACCTCTAATGTGTTTTGTGTCTCGTTTTCCCAAGCATTGCTTCGTGAATAAATACATAAAATCTATGTAAAGATCATATTTTCTTCGTGAAAAATATTTCCAAATTTGAACTAGTAAACGAAAGACCGAAAACAAACGATTTAGTACCAGGATTTAATAAGTGTTCTCTGGGTAAAATCGACTGTATAAATCCTTCGACTGGAAGAGAAACCATATCGCGGACACTTTCCGTTGTGCGGTATTAGAAAGGCGTTTTAGGTTAGGTTAGGTAACGAGTGGAAGCCGTAAGGCAGCACTAATGGTTTGGAAAAGCGATCTTTCAGTGGACGATTCTTATATTGCGTTTTAACCATTCAGAATGTATTCCACACTTGAAAAAGGAAAATGTGCAACTAGGCGTGTGATAAAGTGATTTAATCTAACGAAAGGGAGCACTTTAAGAAATTAGGCTGGTGATGCGTAGGCAGCTTTAAAGACATCGTTACTTTTGTACGCTATTAGCCCTTTTCCGGCCTTTGAGCGCCTTTTACCGAGAGCTGCTGCTTAAAAGGACCCTGTTCATTTTCCGCGTAAACTACCCATCATGGAAATTCACTCAAACCGAAACGCAATGATCTTCGAGAAATCGAAGCACGCACCGTTACTACCAACTTTAAGGAACTACGTTAAAAACGTTTTTTTTTTTTTTTAATGTTTCAATTTCAAGGTATGTTTCTTCTAGCATAATTTTGTAATTGTTCATTGTATAATATATTAAAAATTTAATTTTATACCGATGTGTTAAAATCTTCGAGCATCTAACAAATTGAAATCTCGTTCTTTTTCCGAAAAACTTTTGCTTAAATTTAGCTCCCTAACTTTTAAATTGTTTTCGCGTCTTTAAAACTTTGATTACTTCTTTAACTCGTTTTATAGGTTAAGTTAGATTTTTTTTAAAAGAGGTTACAAACGTTAAAGTTGCCACGAGGGAAAAATGAATTAATTTTAGATTTTAGAGCTCGTAATATTTTTTATCAATCTGGATTATGTTTGGAATGTTTGACTCGAAGTATATGCGTTACGTGTATGTTTCTTCGGTTCGAACGCAGAAGCGTTCACGTAATCGATAGTACCTAGAAAAATGGATCTACTTGGGCCGAATCGGAACGCGATGTGTTTCCAGTTGTTTGTTACCACACTGTTCATAATTACACCTTTGTGTGGTTTACACGCGATGCCGTTGTACCGAGCTAATAATTTGTAAATGTTTTCTTACTAAACAGCTACATGTGGCGCGATTTAAAATTCTAATTTTGCGTGCTATCCACTGACGTGCATGTGCTGCCGTACTTCGTATACATATACATTGTGTCCGCAAGTTAAACAAATCGCGATAATATTTTTAGATAATCGCTGCTGTCAGATTTTCCAATTTCTTCTCAATTTTTAACACGTTATTCGACAGATTGCCATCAAACTTATTTTTCCTTATAAAAATAAGAATAAAACGCTTAACAATTATAAAAAAAAAGAGGTACGAGTGATAAAAAATTAATTAAAACAATGTTGCCCCAGAAGAATCATTAATAAAATACGAATATTGATAATTTTCTGAAAATCAGAGTAAGGGAAATAAATGGTAATTAAATCACAGTCTCTTAAATCGTACGTTCTATTTTACCAATGTTCTCGAGTTTCCACCCTCCTCCATACAGCCATACATCCAATTTGCCATTGCATCGAGACGGTTATTAATTTACGGTAATTAACTCGTGGTACGTCCAATCGACTGACGTATATAATAATTTCGTGCGTGAGTCGTCGTCGATGAAGCGAGTCCATAGGAATGTATAGCGATCGTTCTTCGTGTTACTTCCGCGCTACTGTGGCGTAATTACCGAATTATGTGCACGTGTCTCGTAATCGATAGCTTTTTAAGGACAATGCAGCGCACCGAGCAAATTCGCGTAACGTAACCTCACTTTTGTCGTATCGCTGCACCGTTGAATATCCAAAGTTGATTTTTTCCAAAACGAGGACTCGTATCGAACGACGTTATTTTAAATTTGCAATTTCATTTTTCACAAGCAATCATATCGTACGAATCACTCTAATAAGATTTCGAAATATGTAGCGCCCGTTTGAATTCTGTCACTTAGCCCCGACGAAGATTTTCTAATCTTGTTCACGTTAAATTCGAACAGCGGCGTTCTATTAAGAAGCAATCGATATCGACTTTGGTGTCCACCTATCGGAATTGCAAATTCTGAAAGCGCTTACGGTAATTGCGATACCGATCCTAGAGCGGGACACCCAATTCGATAACGAATATCGTTCTACTCATAATTCGCCGGCGACACCTATACGGTATAAATACGTACGCGGAATCTAGGTTCCGTGACTTTATGCGCTATTTCGAGCACCGTTGCAGAAATTCCATCCTACCATTATCGACGTGTCTAATCGTCAATATTGAATTTCACCAAAAGGAAAATGTCAGAATGTGACAATTTCGGGTGTCATAGGGCAATTATAACCCTTATTTATTTTAGAAATCAGGTTATGTTACTAATTTCAACATTTTTACATCGAAATTTTTTTTCAATGTAACAGCTTCACAATTTTTCGAAAAGGTTATGTACCGATACTTTCGATCTTATTTCGTAATATCTGCACTCGGTATACGTATTTTCTTCATTAAGCTGGTGTTTTATACAATTTCAAATCCTTTCAATCTTCCCACGGCTTAAAAAGAAAAAAATAATACGTAGAATGGAGCAAAAAGGACGTTCGAAATAGAAACTTCACGGGTGTCGAAAGGTATGCGTCGAGGAAGGTGAGCGTGATAGAGCGAAGCGTGCTCGCGACGTGAGTAAACATTGTCACCGGATACACGAATGGATATCGACGTTTCTTGATAACGAACGCGTCCGTCAAAGCGGATAGCGACGCAGGTTCCATGCGTGCCTCGCGGTTTCTTCCAAATTGGCTCGATTTTGTATTCGCAAACAGCATAACCTGCACGTCCGCTGAGGGCAGAGAGCGAACGAACAGGCTGCTCCACGCGTCCAAACATGTGCGCGGAAAAAAATGTACATATTCATGCGATGGAAATAAAGAGGGAGGATGGTCAGAGTTACAGAGGGAAATTGCGCGTCTAGCAGCCGGAAAGGTGGAAAAAAACCGCTCACCGATGTTTCTACTCGTGAATTCTCTTTAGAATTATTCACCATTACGACATCGATTTTACTCGTTCCTACTAGTATATTAGTGCCGCTCTGTGACTCGCCTGCAAGCTCTCCAATTATTTTGTTGGTTAAATGCAAATTAATTATTGTCTCATTTTCACGAGATTGTTCCAGCCGGTATACTAAACTAATTCTATTGCGTGTCTCGTTTGCTGTTTACTCGAGGGGCCGTCGTCGACCGTGACGGCAAGCTTCTGCCCTCTGGTGGCCGTCTTGGCTGCTGGTGGGGGGCCAAATTGGGGCCAATTCATATCGAGACGTGAAAGTGTCAAGTCTCTGTTAACGTTGTTTACGGTGAAATTCCGATTGACTTTCTCTCTCTCTCTCTCTTTTCTGCTTATATAGGTTCTTTTAATTTCTCAAACGTCATTTCGTACGAAGCATGTGACTTTTCAAATGTTTTACATTGGTTGTGAAACAACGTGTAAGCGAAATAAATTGGGATACACTGGATTTCGATTTTGAAACATCAAGCCTGGTCGTTAAAGGGAAAAGTTGTAGAACGTTGGGGTATATAAAGTACTATTATTCGAGGTAACCTGTTATCCAAACTATTTCGTTTCCCCAACAGGTTCTAATAAACGTAGTTTCAGCGTATTTCCTGCCGCGTATTACCGTTTTCGGGGAACGAAAACGCGAATGGCCCCAATTTAAGGTGGATAACGTTATCCTCCAGCGAACCGCGCCATTTCGCGCACGTTAGAACGTTTGTAAGTGAATAAACGCGTTACGCTACCGAAACTCTTCTTTCCGAGGCTGGGATCGAGCGGCGCACTTCACGGACACAAACTCTCCGCGTTGTTGGCAATCTTGCCGAGCGTAGCAGCACTCTCATTTACATGAAGATGTCCCCTGAATGTCTGCGAAGCGTCTGTGCGCGATCAAGGGCCGTCCGTTTCTCGTTTGTCGCTGTTGGTACGACTGCAACGACCGCCACACGAGACGTAACGCGTTAAAGGGAAACTTATGGAACGAGCATCTTCGGCACGAGATTGAATTACGATCGGTCGCACGAGTGTGTATCTTGGAATATTTGTGTAAGGCTGCGCGTGCAGCGAATATTGCAGGTTATATAAATACTCGTTTTGTTTTTTACTCTTGGTATTTTGCGGCTTGCCGCGAACCGCTTGTCAGGCAAATTATCACACGCCGAATATAGGTTAATACGAGGTCGTAAAAGTGCTGATCGTGATTAAGGCGACAATAATAAAACACATTTCTAGAGTGAAAACATATGTAGGTACAGGGTGCTTCGGTTATAAGGAACATCGAAATGATTAAATATAAGGAAATAAGGCCAAAGTAATCGATTTTTTTGCATATTAACATGTGTATTTCTACTGTCTTCCACTATTTTTGCACATATTACGATTGCATGGTGTCGTAGGTCGTTGAACTCGTCTCGATGCCGGCTGCAACGTAGCAATATACAAAACAGACATTAACATGGAAAAAAAATGTTGACAAATGTTGGGAGGACTATTTAATTACCAGACGCACATTCTCGAGTCATATAAACTCCTCTTAATCATTTTTTCTTGTAAATTTAATTCGAAAGGTGAAATATTAGGTGGAGAAATGAATTCTTTCCGACTTTTGGGTACGATAAAAGTTTCATTTAAGAAAAATGAAAACAGATGAAGCGTCGAAATAATTTCCCTTACTTTTTATGATCTTTTGAAACATGGTGGTTTTGTATTAATTATGTGAATCCAGTCTGAATTCAAACTCTCTGTCCCATATTCTGCGACGTTTCCAAGCAATAATCTACAATAATTTCATTATATCGATTGTATGAAAGGTAAAATAATTGTAAATAAAATTTAGCAAAAATTTTCGAATCTCGTATCGGGGCTTGGAATCAAAATTATGAGGAAACAGCGACGTCGAAGTTTCTTCTTTCCGGGTAGGGGAAAAGTTTGGAAAGAAGAGCGCCCGTTTCCAATTAATTTTATCGATAAATAAATTAGCGGCTCCTCCTCGTCGACAGCTCGTGAATACTCATTAAGGCGGCAAATTGGTGGGCAAATTAGCTGAAACAGAACTTTACTCGCCGCGTTCCTACGGGTCGTTCCTTTAATTCGTTTTCTCGTCGAAACCGTTTCGTAAATTTACTGTTTTCGCTGCTTGCGAATTTCACCGCTTTCTCGCTTTGTTGCCTACCAACTTTCAAACCAGAGACACATCGAACGCCTTCGCGGAGTAACTAAAGTTACTTAGAACGCTATGAATTTCCAGCTGAATTTATTCCAGCTAAAAAGAAGAAAGAAAAATCAATTTTTCACGTTGACATTCCACAGAAATGTGTAACAACGTTTAACCCTTTCGCTAAAAAATTTCTTAACCTAACAGCGAAGAACATTTGGCGAGCAGACTACCAACACGGTCTATGACGTGCGCGCTTGAAAAGCTATTTTCGAGGAAACCGTTTTTAGCTTATTTAATTTCTAGAAATTCGACAATGCCTCAATAGCAAATTGCCGCATCATAAACCAAGGGTTTCCGAAAGGTCCGCCGTACGAGGCCCAGAGGCCCGGACCGGCAGGTCACGAGTACCTGACCTGGAGGAAACTCAGCTGTGTCGCCAAATGACGTCACGGGAAAAACCTCCCCCGCCAAGTCGCACTGCGGTCCCCGAAAAAGCGCGCCAAGGGCGCAAGGGACACGCAGCGACTCGGAAAGAAATTACCTGATTGGTTAACACCGATGTGACGGGTTAACCAATCAGGGATGATTAACACGTAGCCGAAAGGCAGTAGGAAAAAAGCGAGTCTTGCACGGACCTCCAAAGCCGTCAGCCAACGTTTAATAAAGATCTCACTACTACCGTGTGGGTACGTAGCGTAACCCTAGTCACGCCTTATTATTCGTAACCACATTCCTTCAAGTTGAACCAATTAAGGTGGAAGTGCATCGAAAGGCTTGAAATTTTCGTAACGAAAGGGTTAACACTGAAAGAAAATTAACGCGCCAGAATTCCTACACTTTCATCCCACAAGTTCCCGCCTAAAGCGCAAAATATTCGTACGAAAATCCGCGAAAATTACTGCAGCGACGATATAACGTTTTTATAAAAAAAAAGAAAAAAGAAGAGAAATAGGAAGAAGTGGTGGAACGAGAAAGCGCTTACGTCTTTTTCTTTCTGAAATTTAAACGTTGGTTGTAAATATCGAGCTAAATTCTAATACTTCCTGGATGGTATCTGACGAGAGAATGCAGCGGTGGAACGGCAAGGAGAAGTCCGTGGCATAAGTAGTCAGAGGTAAGTAAGTGGGCTGCAG